CCCCTCTTCGCCTCCAGGCTTTTGCAGGTGTGCAGCGCGAGCGCCGGCGCCCCCCCAGCCATGCCCGTGGACCTGGCCGTGCGGCTCTGCCTGAGCCACTCGGCGCCCATCTGCAAGCTCCTGAACTCCTACGAGGAGCTGCGGGGCAGCCGGGGGCGCAAACCCCTCCGATCCTGCCTCAACCAGAAGCTGAACGCAGAGCTTGAGCCTGAGCGGCGAGATAACACCAAGAACTCCAAGGGCCAGAAGAAGAAAGTCATATTTGCTGACACGAAGGGGCTCTCACTGACGGCTGTCCGCTTCTTCTCAAAGATCGAGGAGGACCTCTGTGACCTGCAGCATGCCCTGTCTGACCTCGCCTCCTTCCGACCTCGTCTGCGGGACTGGCGCCCAGAAGCGTGCAGGTATGTGCTGGACTTCCCACAGCCCTCTGCAGACTATGTGACTTTCCGCAGCCGCCTACACAGCAACCTCGTCTGCCTGGAGAACTGCCTGATCCAGGACCGTGCCCTCTCGGGGACAGTGAAGGTCAGAAACATTGCGTATGAGAAGAAGGTGGTGGTCCGCATCACCTTTGATGGCTGGAAGAGCTTTCGGGACCTCCCCTGCCAGTATATGCATAGCACATACGGCTCGGCCGACACGGACATCTTCTCGTTTGAGCTCGCCCTGCCCAAGCCGTCCCTCTCCCGCAGGGCCACGGAGTTTTGCATCTTCTTCCAGTGTGGACAGAAGACCCACTGGGACAACAACCAAGGGAGGAACTACAGGATCTGCCCTGTGGGCATGAGCCGCCCTCCCTCCCAGTGTGTGAAGAGTGCCAGCGGGGCCTGGGAGCACCTCGGCACCACTCGGGCTGCTGCCCTGGTCCTTTCCCACCTGCAGACCTGGCACCGGGTGGAGGCCCAGGCTCCCTATTGGTAGGAATGCAGCATGTAGAGAGGTGTAGGTCCCTTCCATGTCCCTACTGTGGCACAAGTGTCTCGGGAGGGTTCAACTGCAGAAGATACTGCTCACAGTGTTGTTAAGCTCCTCCATGTGTCTGGCCTGC